AATCTGAAGTTTCAGGACAAAGTAAAATATTCATCTTTTCCTCAGAGTTGCAAGGCAAAATTTATTGTGAAGAAAATAATCACTATTGGGTTTTTAACCATCTCCTCCCTGAGTCCCTTGCAATTTAATCCAATTTAATAAGCATTGTAATAAGAGAACTTTTCTCTTTTTTTAGATGTTTTAAAATTAAACTTTATTATGAAAATTTTGAAGTATATACTGCAATACAATTATTTGTATATCAGAACATGTTACTAGATAGTAAAGCTTATAAAGGTAGAAGATGTAAGTGTTTTTGTGGCATCTTCTAGCAAGCAGCACAGTGCTGTGCCACAAGGCAATTCATGTTTTCCTCTGAATGAGTAACTGACTTCTCTTCAGCTTTTATCAAAACACAATATAAAATAATTCTTGATCTGAATATTTTATTATGAGTTATCTCGGACTGGCAACATTTATTTAAAGAAATTCAGTAATAAACTCATGCTATGAAGTGTGAAGGAGGATTACAGAAATGTCACCTTTTGAATAAGAGAACTTTTCTGTATTGAACTTCAGACCACCATTTCCTCAAGACAGCTAGTCACACAACCAGCTGGAGATGGCAGAATTCAGCTGATTTTAGCTGCAGTGATAAGAGAATTTCTGGCTCAGTTTTATTACCTCTTAACTTAACTTAAGTTGAACAGGTGAAGTAGGTAGGTATAGCTCCTGTGTTAATAGTCTGCAAATTCCAACTTTATTCCTATGTTTACTGACTAGTTTATTATTTTACCTACTGTAGATCTCCCCCTTCTATCTGTTCTTCAATAGGTAAATCTTTACCTTCTCCTACCCACAATAAAATTTTATCTGTCTTGCCTTTGAACTAAAACCGACAAAAGGTTGTTGAAACTGCAGCTTGGGACCTACTGGTTTTTGCACGCTGTGCGTCTCTGCGCAAAGCACATAATGAAACGGTTATTAACATGTGTCTGTTGATAAGCATGATTGGCAGAAGTACTTCTCCACAAATTCTTGGACAACTTTTACGGTAGCACTGATTCAGCTCCGACTCCCTGAAGAATGCTTATGTGCAAGCAAATTTAAGAAAAAAATCTAGAAACTTCCTTTTTGATTTCTCCAGAAATATTAAGAAACATTATTAATCCAGCCTAAAACCCTTTGTAGATTCTTCGCTTTAGGGAAATGGGGTAAAGAAGATAACCAAACGATTTTTGCCTTAGTAAGTTCATTGCCTCCATATCCACCATTGGCAACTAAAAGCAATGGCATCTTTTGCATTCCAGGTTAAAATAATAATCACAGGAAGATATTCTTCAGTCATTAAGGGCAGTCAGCAGTCCAAGAAGGAGCTAAGTGACCTTCTGCCTTTTATTATCTTTTCTTACTGTATTTTTAACCTTCTATGATCTTTTCCTTGCTCAAGATTCCTACAAGTGTTAACCCCAAATCGTCTTGGGGCGGTCATTTCAGAGAGTACAGGGGACTGTGTCAGCTCAGACAACTCTTTGTCAAGTTAGAAATGGCCAATATATAAGTGTTACAATGAATAGAATTATTTTTGCCATACATTAACATATTGTTTTAGGGTGATTATGGGAGTTCTTGGAAATGAATACAAATATTGCTCATTCAAAACTCTGGCAGCAAATGGTCAGTTGAATGTGCTGGTTTAAGGACTTGCATGTGTGACCTCACAACCCAAACTTGCACTATATACCCCTTTCCCTGTATCACATTCCTTCCCTAGGCTTCCCAGGCTACTTAGTAGTTCCCCACATAGTCATGGAGGTGAAGGACAGAAAAAAGGAAAGAGGAAGCCTTTCAAGAGGAGTCAGCAAGATCTGGGGCCAAGGAGGAGAGGTTTGATGTCATTTCTCTGTCTTGAAGTTGAGCTCACATGATCAGAACAAGAGACTTGCTTATGGAGAATCAGTATTGTAGGCCTATCTTGTTTTGTTGTGCTTCCAGAAATCTCACATTACTGCTACGTCAGTTGGTAGATGAAGCTTTGCTAAGATAAAGAAACTATAGGCAGGGAAAATGTATATGTTCCCATGAGAAAGTATGTTCTTTCTAGGAAAAACAATGTTCACCTTGCCAAACATTCCCAGAATGTTCTAATCACAACATTGTCATTATGGCCCAATAACAATAACTTCATAAATCCCCTAACTTTGCACATTGCCCAACACTATCACCCTTTTGTCTTTCATCTTTGCCATCCTCAATCCACCATTTGTTTTCCTAAATCAGTTGTAATTTTTTTTTAAGGCAATTGGGGTTAAATAACTTGCCCAGGGTCACACAGCTAGTAAGTGGCAAGTGTTTGGTCTGAGGCTGGATCTGAACTCAGGTCCTTCTGACTTCAGGGCCAGTGCTCTATCCACTGTACCACCTAGCTGCCCCTCCAGTTGTAATTTGGCAAACTAGTTAACTATACTCAACTTGGGAAAAAAATATGACCATGACACCTGTTTGTGTGCCCATTGTCTGACTCTTCTCTTGTGTCCATAAGTGATAAAAACTGCTTTGTTTAAAACAAAAATGCAAAGTGTAGAGTCAGTTCTTCAATATTTGTGCCCTTCAATATTCTATCTATGGGCCAGAGAGATAGGATGGATAGGACAATGATCCTCCTCTACCTCTTACATTGGGTTTTCCAGCTCTGGGAAGAAGGGAATGCCTATAGTTGGCTCTCCAGAAATTTTGAAATTACCCAGATTTTGTCTCTGGCACCTTTGTGCTTTTTTTTTTCATCTCACTCCCCTGCTCCCCCCAAGGAAATAGATGAATAGTTTGGAAAATAGATTGCAAACCCGGAAGACATGATACTGTACTGACAGGAGATTTCTATCATCTGCACATCTGAAGGAGCCCTCCACCAAAAATACAACAAAAATATAATCTTTTATTTGTCTTTATGATTTCATCTTTCAAAAAAATGGAGAAATCAATAAGGGGAAACAATCCCTCCATCTTAGAATCCTGAGAGAGGATAGGAAAGCAAGACATAGTCTGCCATGTAGCTTAGATTTTCAAAGAGTGAATTTCAAATGGTTCAGAGAAAGGACAGGTAGAATCCCAAAGACTAAAATTCTAAAGAGGAAGTCAGCTCAGGAGCCAGGAAGCACCCAAGAATGAAATTCTAAAGACATGAGACTAATACTGATAATGATGACAAGGGAAAGGTTGTCGAGAAGAGACTAATATGGGACACTTTTTGTTAGACAGTGGAGCAATAAAAAAAAGTCAAGGGAAACAGCTACCCAAATTCCTAAGGATCTAGAAATGCTGCTCAATTCTTTCCAAGTCAAAAAGAGAGAAATAATACTGCTTAATATGAAATTAAAGCTCAAGGTAAATAAGAAAAGAACTAGTCAGAAAGCACCAAGACCTTGGTGAGTTCAAGTCACCAGTCCCAAATGAAATATACCTCAGAGTAATAAAGGGCCTGTCAGATGTGACTGCTGAGTCACCATCAGTGAGCTCTGAGAGGGTGGAAAATAGAAAAGTTGCCACAGGACTGGACCATTGCAAATGTCACAGAAACAAAAATATAAACAAACCTAAACAGGAATAACTCTGAGCCTGTATGATTCTGCAATATATATGAGTTCTTTCAGCATCCTGGAATAGTTTGTCTCAGCATGAGGTCTTGAATTCCTCAAGGGCAGCAAAATGTTCCAAACGAACTTTGGGTTTCAATTCACTGTCATTTTGTTCGGTTCTTTCTAATTGCAACATTATTTTCCTTGGCAGAGAAAAAATGCAAAATAAAGAAGTAAGCAAATTTGCTTTTTCCCCATCAATTATGACCATCCATTTGTCTTGAATAATAGTCCTTTCTCTTCTTTGATCATCTGTTATTGGCTCTAAATTATAGACAAGCTGATGATATATATTGGAGGAAAAAATAGCCACACTGGTAAATCCCTAGTGGATGAAAATACAGGCTTTAAATTCCCACAAAAATGCTTTCAAAACATCAAGTTCAGATCATCCTGACCATTAGCAGCATTTATGAAACTCTCTTTAATAGGACCATGCATGTGATTTTCATCCTTCATAATCTGTCCTTGTTTCCATTTCTCTACACGGTTTTTCAAAATGTGGGTAATAACTATCTTGTATATCTACATTTATCTCTGTAAAGGGGGTGGCTACTAATAGGTGAAGATTTGTTGCACGTAGCCTATGAACTATTTTGGTGGGTAAATCTGTGGAGGCTACGTATCTCACTGTTTGGCCTAATGTCCTTAATAAATTTGCTTCTTGATTGAAAAAAATCATTACTTTATTATAAATTCAATATTAAAATAAATAAAAACCAGCGAGATTTACTTTGCAACTATTTACATGTAAATACATGATTTTGTTGCATAAAATGCCATAATTTTCCAGTCTCTTGCCCCTAACTCTCCATCAGGATTCTTCTTCCTAAATCATAAGTCACTCACATGAGATTTTCAAAATAAGACTGAATGGCCATTTTTCAGGTATAATGTAGGGGCAGTCTTGTGAGGGATTGTCTGATGTTGGCTACATGCCACGTGGGGGTTGTGGTGAACTGGGGTAGGAACAGGATACGGGGAAGTAGCCGGAGCATGTGCTCCTGAGGCAGGGGGCTGTGCCACGTGGGAGTGGGACGGCAGAGAAAGAGCTTCCTTTATCACGTCCTCTCCCTAGGTGCAGCGCTAACCCCAGACGTCTCCTTCCTGTATCCGGGCCTAGCCTCCTGTGTCACGTCCTCTCCCTTGGTGCAGCGCTAAACCCAGACATCCCCTTCCGGTATCTGATCCTACAATCAATGACTAGTAGGCGGGCTGAGGAGGAGGGGCTAGGAAGGTATATAGGAGCTGTAGGGGTCGGAGCTCGCTCTCTCTTGCTCCTGCTTTCTTGCTCTGGCTTTCCTGCTTGGCCTTGCTGTGATGGCCTCTGAATAAAGCTCGAGTGTTTGCACCTCCTGATCAGCTCTTCTCTGTGTTTATCCGGGTGGGCACCAAAGACTGGTAAGTATGACCCTAGCAGCCTGATCCTCATAGGAGGAGAGTGCATGGCACGGCCGGCACAAGTCTTATATGGGTTTGGGTTGGTCCAGAGGGCCCTTGAGGGGCCTTCAGTTCTGAAATTCTATAAAATTCTCTAAAGGATGAGATGTTTCTGAAGACATTCCCATATTCATTACACACGTGGTATTTCTCCAACCTGAATTTGCTATTGATTCATAAGGCAGGAATTGTTAAAGGCTTTCCCATAATCATTTTACTGATATTGTTTTTATGCAGTGTGCTTCTTATGATTCCTGAGGGATGAGTTGTGATCAAAGGTTTTCCATGTTTATTACCTGGTATGGGCTTTAATCCAATACGAATTATCTTATGTTCAGTCAAGACCTATTGGATAGGCAAAGGCTCTTCCATACTCATTTAACTGAAAAGTTTTCTCACCAGTATGAGTTTTCTTATGCAATCTTTATCTTCTCTCTGAAGACTTTCCCACAGTCATTGCAAAGGGTTTTTCAACAGCATGAAGTCTTCCATGTTTCCTAAGGTTTGAGCTATTGCTGAAGGCCTTTCCACATTCATTACATTCAAAAGGTTTTTCTCCTGTATGATGTCTCCAATGCAATGTAAGGTTTGATCTGTTACTGAAGGTTTTCCCACATTTATCACATGCAAAAGGTTTTTCTTTTGTATGAGCTCTCTTATGAGCAGTAAGACTTTTTCTGTGGCGAAAGGTTTTCCCACATTCATCACAATCAAATGGTTTCTCTCCAGTATGAATTCTCATATGTTCAAGAAGGCTTGCAGTATAGCTAAATGCCTTTCCACATTCATTACAATCAAAGGGTTTTTCACCAGTATGGATTCTCTGATGTGCAGTAAGATTCCACCTGTCTAGGAAGGCTTTTCCACACTCATTGCACACAAAAGGTTTCTCTCCAGTATGAATTCTCCGATGTTTCCTAAATGATGAGCTTCTACTGAAAGCCTTCCCACATTCATTACACTTATATTTCTCTCCTGTATGAAGTTTCCAGTGAACCCTGAGGGATGAGCTATTGCTGAAGGCCTTCCCACATTGATCACATTCAAAGGGTTTCTCTCCAGAATGAATTCTCTTGTGTTCGGTAAGTTTCCCTCTCTCCAAAAAGGATTTCCCACACTCATTGCACACAAAGGGTTTCTCTCCAGTATGAATTCTCTTATGTTCAGTAAGTCTTCCTAGGTAGCTAAAGGCTTTTTCACACTCATTACATTTAAAAGGTTTCTCTCCAGTATGAATTCTTTTATGTTTAGTAAGACTTACTGGGGTCCTAAATGCTTTTCCACACTCATTGCATTCAAAGGGTTTCTCTCCAGAATGAATTCTTTCATGTGTGGTAAGCTTTCCTCTCTCTAAAAAGGCTTTTCCACATTCATTACATTCAAAAGGTTTTTCTCCTGTATGATGTCTCCAATGCAATGTAAGGTTTGATCTGTTACTGAAGGTTTTCCCACATTTATCACATGCAAAAGGTTTTTCTTTTGTATGGGCTCTCTTATGAGCAGTAAGACTTTTTCTGTGGCGAAAGGTTTTCCCACATTCATCACAATCAAATGGTTTCTCTCCAGTATGAATTCTCATATGTTCAAGAAGGCTTGCAGTATAGCTAAATGCCTTTCCACATTCATTACATTCAAAGGGCTTTTCGCCAGTATGGATTCTCTGATGCGCAGTAAGATTCCACTTGTCTAGGAAGGCTTTTCCACACTCATTGCACACAAAGGGTTTCTCTCCAGTATGAATTCTCCGATGTTTCCTAAATGATGAGCTTCTACTGAAAGCCTTCCCACATTCATTACACTTATATTTCTCTCCTGTATGAAGTTTCCAGTGAACCCTGAGGGATGAGCTATTGCTGAAGGCCTTCCCACATTGATCACATTCAAAGGGTTTCTCTCCAGAATGAATTCTCTTGTGTTCAGTAAGTTTTCCTCTCTCCAAAAAGGATTTCCCACACTCATTGCACACGAAAGATTTATCTTCAGTATGAATTCTCTTATGTTTAGTAAGACGTCCTAGGTAGCTAAAGGCTTTTCCACACTTGTTACATTTAAAAGGTTTCTCTCCAGAATGAATTCTTTCATGTGTGGTAAGTTTTCCTCTCTCTACAAAGGCTTTTCCACATTCATAGCATATAAAGGGTTCCTTCCCAGTATGAATTCTCTGATGTCCTCTGAGGGATGACCTGTTGCTGAAGTTCTTCCCACATTTGTTACATTCATATGGTTTTTCTTCACTAAGTTTTTTGTGATACTGAATAAGGTCTGTATGATAACTAAAGGACTTCCTAGATATAGTGGATTTCCACAGCTGCTTACCAGAAATTTGATCACATTTAAGAATGTTTGAATACTGCTGGGAGCTCTTTCCCCATATACCACATTTGTAGAGACTTTCCCCCTCTGCTGTTTTCTGCTGTGGAACATGGATTAAACCCAGACTGAAATTCTTCTCAAACGTATTATATTTATTAGTGATTGTCATTTGTTTGGATTTTCTATCTTTGTTGTTCTTTTGCCTCTGTAGCCTGACATCATATTCCCAGTCTTCTCTCAATTTGTAACTCCAAGGACCATTCATCATGTGTATTTCCTTAGATGACTTTCCCATAAAAATGCCTTGCTTTGCAACTGGCTCCGTGGTATCCTGACTTGTTTCTTGAGTAAGGAAATCTGGAAGAAATAAAAGTGTCAATATTTGCTGGTCTCCAAAATTAAGGAAACTCTTCTCCATGAAGAAGGAACATTGATTAGGAGAGTTTATAACAAACATTATTAAAAGGGAGCAGAAGCTCAAGTTAATTGAGAAGATACTAACATAAAATGTCCCTGATTTAAATGAAATTAAGTCTTCAGGACAAAATAGCTGATTGTTACTTGCCTAGACCTAGACTTTTCTTCTTGGTTATCTTTCTATCTCTGAAACCACATTCCCTGTCTTCTGCCACTGTAGACTTATTATTGGTAACTGACAAATTATTTAAATTTTCAGGAAGGGGAAACAGGACAATTTTTCAAAATAAAGACTGATGCCTGATGCCAATTCCTGACAAACTTCTAGAATCTATTACCTAACAGATGACCTGGAAGCACTGAGAAAAAAAAAAGTAATGCTAAGACCTGGTACGGGGTCAGTGCAAACTCAACCTTATATCTCTTTATAGGTAAATTTTCTTGATTTGTTGATGAGAATAGGTAAGAAATATTGCATATCTAAAATTTAGATTTTTAGCAATATATTTGTTGAAACCTCTCAACATGTCTTCATGGACAAGATGTAGAAATGTCTGTTATAGGACAAGGCATCTTAACTATCTTAAGCCACAGTAAATGATGAAAACTATCTAGTTCAACTAGGTGTTGTAGTGGATAGAGTGTTAGTTGTGGAGTCAGGAAGACCTGAGTTCAAATCCAGCCTCAGACACTTACTAGCTGTGTGATTCTGGACAAGTCACTCAATCCTATTTGCCTCAGTTTCCTCATCTATAAAATGAGCTAGAGAAGGAAATGGCAAACCATTACAGTATCTTTGCCAAGAAAAATCCTAAATGGGGTCACAAAGAATCAGACCCAACTGAAACAATTGAAGACTACATCATCTAGGGTCATAGAAAGTAATTTCACTCCATTTGGTGCCAGTCAGACCGTACTTGAAGGATTGTGTTCAGTTACAAGTACATTTTATTTTAGTATTTTTTAAAAAATAAAGGTTATTGATATATTTTACATTTATCACCTACATTTCCCAATGTATCTCTTTACATTCTCCCCTGCCCATGCTAATAACCACCTCTATTAAGAATAAAAACTGGAAAAAAATTCTAGTTCCTCAGAATTAAAAAAAAAAAAACCACATTAAAAGAGACTGGTATTATCTGCAGCATTCCATATCCATAGTCTCTCACCTCTACAAAGAAGAATGACACCAGTCAGTCAACAAATAAATATTCACTAAGCACTTTTGAAATGCCAGGTACTCTGCTAAGAGCTAGGATCCAAAGAAAAGGAAAAACAGTCCCTGCCCTTAAAGAGCTTATATCCTAACGGCACAAATTAAGAAAGGAATTTCCCAACCCTAGTGTGTTCAGAATAGTTAAAAGGCCTAGAAGTGACATCATGTGGACAAAGGTTAAAATAACTGAGAGTGCTTAGCTTGGTAGCCGTCCTCAGCGAAAGTTGTCATGGACACTAGACGTTTACTGACTCCAGAGGACACAGGGCAGATAGCTGGCATACAGAGCATGGGCACTGGAGTTCAAATCTGGCCTTTGACACTCACTAGCTATGTGACCCTGGGAAAGTCACCTACGGCTGTTTGCATCAGCTTCCTCACCCATAAAATGAGCTGGAGAAGGAAATGGATTTGATGTCAAGTTTCTGGACTTAAGCCTCAACTCTGACACTTGGGAGCTCTGTGAACAGACACGCAACCATGACAGCCTTTGAATCAGACTGGGTTTCTTTCCGCTTAAAAATAAGGATAATGAAACTTGTATTACAGTCTTCACAGACTTGTTGTCAGGAAAATGTCTTGCAAATTTTAAATAATGTTGTTATTATTATCATTATCATTAACGACAATAATAACAATAGTAACAACATGGGCATCCGTGGTCGGATTACGGTTTTCTTCACTGGACCTCACTGATGAGGTTGCAGAATCACTTGAGTATCGAGATGGTACTGGGGGCAACATCAAGGACCTTCATCTTTCCTTCCCAAACGGGAAGAAGGTTCTCCTCTCTCCGGCCCTTTAGAACTTCCAGATACAACACATCACTTCTTCTGTTTGGTGGTAAAGACAAGGCTGAGTAGAACCGGGAACAGCTGGCGAAGGTTGCAGAGACAAATTTAGGCTTGATGTAGTGAAAACATGTTAAACCATCAGAGTGACGTACAAGCGCCTCAGCAGGCGATGGGCTGCCCCTCGGTGGTAGTCTTCAAGCAAAGACCAAGTTACCACTGGCTGGGCAGGTTGCTGGATTAGATTGCCTCTGAGGTCTCTTCTAATTCTGGAATTCTGTGATCCTGGGGTTCTCCCTGACTTCTAGGAGGAGAAAAAGCCGACATTGCTGCTTTGAGAGCAGAGCTGGAGGATTTTGAGAGCAAATGAGCAAAGTTTTACTATCTAAGGAGAGAACAGAAAATGTAAGCCCAGGGAATGAGCAAAATGTACTCAAGGGGTATATGTGGAGGGTGGGGACGGGCAGGCAGGAGGCACAGAATGGAAAGGAAAGAATGTAGTGTTATGGGTGGATGTTAAGAACAAAAGCAACATTGAGAAGAATTTTTGGAGAGGAAGTAAAAAAAAAAACATTAAGCAAAGCAAAGTAGTTTAGACTAGTGTTCAGGGAAGGGATTAAAGAGTTGCTGTAGGTTTCAATTAATAAAACAATATCACCAAGGCCTGATTTGCAGCATTTGGTGATCTCCAGGGTGAAAATGTTCACAATGAAAATGTAATAATCAGCTCTTATAAGCCACTACAAGCTGGCTCCAGCACATCTTCAGGGGCCGGAATGAAACGCAATATTAGGTAAAGAAGTGGTGGACTAGAGACGCTAAGAGGCCTTTCAAGTCACCTGAGCACGAAAAAATAAGAGCAGGACTGGAATGACGCATCAGAAATGGAGACTAAATGAACCCAAGATAAATTATCGCAGAATCAAAAGGATTCAGTAACTACTGGAATAAAGGGGATAAAAGACATTCATGAGTTGAACAGATATAAGCACCACTGCCAGAAATGAAGAAGTTGGAAAGGGAAATTTGTGGGGGTTTCAGGAAAATGGCAACTTAAGTTTGGGAAATACTGAGTTTGGGCGGGAAACGATTTACCACGCAGACATGAATTACAGGCACGTGTAAATGTGGGATGTGTAAGGAAGAGGCATCCACACTGAAGACATAATTGAAGGCTTGAGTATGGGAAACATGTCTAAAAGAGATACAGAAAGATTTAGAATCATCAGAAAGGACAATCATGGGTTGGTGGATAAGGATTCTCGACCCAGAGGAGTCAACTAAAATAACTGAAGAAAGTTTGATAGATCAATCTCAGTCAAGGGAGGGGCTGGTTTCACGAAGGGTTGCTCAAATCTACCGAACCTTTGGCAAATATTGATGAATGTAAAGATCTGAGAAAAAAAACAAACCCCTGAATTGAAGAAAAGAGAAAATACGGTGAGGTGGGAAAGTCCCAGGACACGGAACAAGGAAACATGTGTTTGACTTTCATTTCTGCCACTAATGGGCCAAGAAACAGCAGAGTCGGGCAAAGACTTTTCTTTGTTGTCTTAAAAATATAGGTTGGACTCGTGTATTTGAAAGCAGAAGGAAGGTAACATGAAGAGGAAGAGATGAATACTTCCCTTAACAAACAGCTGCTGCATTAAGGATTCAAGACAAGAGGCACGTCATCATGCCGGGGGCACAAAAGGATGGGATTTAGAATACAAGCTAAGGGCTAACCCCAGAATCCCCAAATTCCAGATCCCTTTCCCTCTTGCTCTAGAAGTGGTTGTCTGGCCTTTGTCTGAAGATTCTCCTGAGGCAGAACATGTAGCTCCTGGCCAGCTCTAATTGTCAGGAAATTGTCCTGGCCAGCTCTAATTGTCAGGAAATTGTCCTTGACAGCAAGCCTAAACTTGCCTCTTTTCACCTTTCACTCACACTGCCACCAATTCCAAGAAAAAAGATCCATCACTGCCCCTTGAACATGGCATCTTTTCTTTTCTTTCTTTTTTTTTTTGTAGGCAATTGGGGTTAAGTGACTTGCTGAGGGTCACACAGCTAGTAAGTGTCAAGTGTTTGGTCTGAGGCCGGATTTGAACTCAGGTTCTCCTGACTTCAGGGCTGGTGCTTTATCTACTGCACCACCTAGCTGCCCATCTTTTCAAATAACTGAAGACAATTATGTTCCCTGAGCCTTCTTCTGGCAAAATATGCCTACTTCTGTCAATAAATCCTAGTAAAGCATGAGCTCAGGATTCCTCATAAAGGTATATTCCAGCAGTGGGGAACCTGCGGCCTTGAGGCCACATGTAGCCTTCTAGGTCCTTGGGTTCAGCCTTTTAACTGAGTTCAAGTTTTACAGATCAAATTCTTTTATCAAGGGGATTTGTTCTGTGAAGTCTGGATTCACTGAGGACCCAGAGGGCCACATGTGGCCTTGAGGCTGCAGGTTCCCCACCCCGGGCATATTTCATTAAGACAAAAGTGAAAAATAAAAAGAGAAATAGAAGGAAAGTGATTCATTGAAGTGAAAGGTGAGGGCAAATCATGGAAACAATCTCAACCCTTTTCCACAGGCCTGGGAGACCTTGGCAAGACAGTTCCATGGCCAACGTCAAAGGTACCAGGCCTTCACTGGACAGATGCACTACAGGGTTACAATGATCCTTATCTGCCTGGGTGTTACTCACTCACCTGCGCAAGGGCCTCTTGGAATGTCTCCCTCTGGTATCCAAAGGACTTTACCCCTCTGCAACTGGGAGAACACATCTGGTTGAAAAACCAGCAGTCCTGCTCAAAGAGAAAGAAAGGGCAAAGAGAAACATCTTGTAATTCAATCCTAGGACATTTGCTCTTCAGAGAGAAGAGATTATCCCAGGAAAGCATAGGGTACAAAGAACATCTGAGGCATGTTCTCAATTGTATTCCCAAAAGGAAGGGGGACACAGGTTGGAGCTGATTTGGGCTCTGAAAAAAAATCAGTTCACTTGACCCACTCTGCTAAGAAGACAAGAAACTTTCATATCTTCAGGTATCTGTACTGGGGCTTTTGGGGAAAAGCTTTGACCAGGGAGAAATGGAGATTGGGGAAGGTGGGGATTCAGGGACAACCCAGTAAAGCTACAACTTTCCAGGCTGAGAAGCAGAGATTTCACTTGGGAAAAGAGAGTAGAAACATCAAATCTCTTCATCTTATATGAGTTAGGAATCTGTCTCTATTGTACATGTTCAGCCAAACCTCAGATGAGTCAATCAGAGACCCAGCTGCCTCTGGCAAGGGAGAATGTACAAATAATTCCAAAGAGCAGGCCATAAGTTATAGGGGAAAGTTGTCCTTACCCAGAGAGACCAGGTTCTGATAGTTCTCCAGCATCACGTCCCGATACAGGTCCCTCTGAGCCTGGTTCAACTGCCTCCACTCATCTTGGGTGAAATCTACTGCAACATCTTTGAATGTCACCGATTCCTGAAAGAGTAAATATGGGCCTACTTACTTAGCGGATATCTCTCCCATTCATTATGGGGGAGAAGTACAGTTGGGTAGGATCAAAAATGACTCCTCTTCAAGATTTTGAAGGTTTTGAAAAAGTCTATATCAAATAGTTATTGGTATGAATGAATGAATGAACAAGGATTTATTAAGTGCTTGCCATGTGCCAAGCACCATGCTAAGTAAAGGGGATATAAACAGAAAAGGCTAGATGGGCCCCGCTCTCAAGAAGCTTACACAGTAATGGGGGGAGACAACAACTGGAAGGCCTGGAAGTGCTGGGGGAGTAGCAGTGGGGAGGGTCCCAAGATCCAGAGGCCCTCAGGTCACACAAGTAGTTAAGATAGTGGTGCTGAGAGACTCCAGGCCATAGAGGCAGGACATATGGTAAGGCCTGGAGGACTTTAGGAGGCAGTCTGGGGCAGATGGTAAACTCTGATGGTCTTCCATCTCATCAGAAGGAAGGGAGTAGCTGACTTCAATATCATTCTAACCCCATGAGCAGTAAAGTAACAAAACCTTCGGAAAAGGCAAAGAGGGAGAGCGCTCATCCCTCCAGCCAGAAGCATTGCCATCGAAGGTAAAGAAAGTCAGGAGAGGCTGCATGGAGGAACCAGGACCTGTGCTGGGCCACAGAGGCATGAGAGGTGACAGAGAGAGGAAACGAAGTCCTGGGGACTTTACTAGCTCAGGAAATGCCCTCTATAGACGCAGGCCACGGGAGAAGAGAGCAGTGAGAGGTTTTAGTGACTTGCCCAAGGTCACCCAGCCAGGCTGGGTCAGAGGCAGGAGCTGACCCCAGGGCTTCCTTACTCTAGGGTCAACTCTCTTTATCCCAACACCACAGTGCCTCACTCCAAGGAGGCAGAAATGGGGATGGAAATGCAGGAAAGCTGGAGACAGAGCACAAATAGGCAGGAGAGTTAGGACGTCTTTGGGTACCCTAGTTTGGCTGGGTCGTGGCATATTTCAAAAGGAACTGCATGAAAATACTTATAGCAACTCTTTATAGAGGCAAAGAACTGGAAAGTAAGACAATGGTCATCAACTGGAGAAGGGCTCAATAAATTATGACTGAGTTAAAGGGCCGCACTTGAGGACCTAGAGGGCCACATATGGCCTCGAGGCCTTAGGTTCCCCACCTCTGCTCTAGAGGAATGCAACCAGACCAGTACATCATGGGATCACAGATCTACAACATGAGGAGACTTTGGACGCCAATGAATCCAGCCCTCTAATTTTACAGATGAAGAAACTGAGGCACAAAGAGGTTAAGCATCTTGCATCCTTGTTGACAACAATATCCCTATGCTAGAGCCCATGTGACTCAGGAAGCCGTTATCTTTCCTGACCTTCTCCCTTGTTCCACAGACAGCCATCTTCCAGCATGGCTACAGCTTGGACCACATCTTCCTGTGATGTTTCTTCACTGCCCACATCTCAAATGTGGTGGAAGCAACTTCCAACCATAACCTCTTTCCATGTTCACCTTTCCTGTTCATCATCATCCCCTGAACCTGTTCTGTGTCCCTATGCTTATTTCCAATCACGTAAATCATTCTTTTCACCTGTAAACCATCAGCCCTAATGGGAGTCCAGAGTTAAAGAAATCAACATAATTAATGACAGTAAGGGAAGGAAAGGGGGAAAAGGAAGGTAATAAGTATTTATAGAGCACCTACTATGTGCCAGATACTATGCTAGAGTACTTTATAAATATTAGCTCATTTGATCATTAAGTATAAGAACCTTGTTTACAGTGTTTTAAAAAGTTCAATTCAATAAGAAAATTAGCATTTTTCTTACTTTCCATATTTACTTTCGAGGAAATCATTAAAGAAGAATAAGTTTTAATAATCATAATTCTAAAATGCTAAATAAAAGAAGGATGACTTCCATAATTTTTAACAAAACATTTAATTATAATTATATTAATAAATCAAGGGAGTAACACATAGTTTGCCTAGATATTATAAAAAGCATCTGGCAAAGTCTCACACACTATCCTAGCAGAAAAAATGGAGATGTATGGGCTAAACCAGGGATTCTTAAGTAAGGGCGCATGAACTTAATTTTAAAAATATTTCTGGAATAGTTTTTCAAAATAATTGGTCCTTTGTAATCCTATATATTTGAATTTATGCACTGAAAAGCACTGTTCTAAGAAAAGGCACACAGGGGTGATATTAAAGGGACTGAGAAGTCCGTGAAAGGAAAGGAAGAGGAAGCAGGGAGCGTATACAGCCTTTTCTAGGATTCTAGGCTGAGAAAAGCAGGAGAAATATGGGATGACACTTGAGGGGATGGCAGGGTCCAGTGAGTTTTTTTTTCAGAATGGAGGAAATTTGGGTGTGTTTATAAGCATCAGGAAAGAGCCAGCAGATAGGGAGTCAAGATTAGAGAGACAGGACATGACTGTGGGGGCAATCTTCTGGAGGAAATGGGAAAAAATAGAGTCCATGGTGCAGGCAGAGAGGTTGGCCCTGGTGATGAGAAGAGACTGGAGTAATGGAAAAGAGAATGGGAGGTGATGTCGGAGGGAAGCGAGATACAGAGAAGGGAGAAGAGGGAGCCCACAGGGAATGGCCTCTGTTCTCTCAGGAGAGTATGAGGAGCGGACATGGATGGTGGGGTAAGGCAGAGCTGAGGTTCAGCAAGGTTCGACTATGAAGAGAACAAGGGGGAGAGTGGTTTGAGAATAAATTACAATACAATGTTGAACTGTTCAACTGGGTTGAGAATGAGAAGGCAAGAAAATGAGGCTAGAGCAGGGGTGAGGTCCAGTAAAGTACTGAAGGGAGGAGGGACTGGAGGTCATGATGGGGTCAAAGGATATGTTTAAGAGGAGTAAAGGATAGAAAGACATGTGATTCCTCAAGGTTATAATGGGACAAAGGAACTTTAGAGCTCTTGATCATGAAGGAATATCACCTGGGGGTGGGCATAACCAAGGGTGTGATCATCCCTGCGTGTAGCTCAAGCAGAGCAGGGAAGGAAGCCATGGAGGCTCAGGACAATAAGGAGTTGGGGGATTGCAATGAGGTCTTAGTACAGGGGCAGGAATTGGATTGGAGAGGAAAGGTAGTAGGTGGTAAGGTTGTCATCACTACTAAGATTCAAGCAAATGAGGTGTGGGTTGAACTTCACAGCCTCTGCTATCCCCTTTATTTCTGAAATTCTGATGCTGGGAAGGTACAAGGCAAGGAGAGGATCTGTTCTCCATAGAGTACTATGGTATTCTGGAATTATGATCTACCTGTCCAGACCTCTTTTTCTTTATATTCTACATAAGAGGGTTAGGCTCCATGACCCCTTAAGCTCTCTCCTGTCTTGAATCATTTACATACTCTCTGACCTCAAAATGTTCCATCAGTACAGGCAGAGTTTTCTCAGAGAGGACAGCTAAGACTCAAATCTCGGGTTAAGACACGTGTGATGATCGAAGATCAAAAATCAAGAAAAGAAACAAACCTGCTCTCTGAGAGAGGAGCTGGCATCCCAACTGACCTGGGAGCTGGCCGCCAGGAGCACAGGAACCATGGCCTCTTTCTCCTCTTGGCTTCTTGAAAAGGGTAGAGTCTTGGGAAAGCAGAGCTGTAGGACAAGGAAGAAGTCACCAAGAGCAACCGTGCTTTGCAGCACTCGCTCGCCAGGGTACAGTTCCTCTCCTGGCAGTGAGGTGCTGAGCCCCATGCTCCCTATGGAACAGAGAGTCTTAACCTTTTTGGTATCACAAAGTCTGAGGAAGCCTATGGAGCCCTTCTTAAAATAATGTGTATTTTTTAAAAATTCATACAGTAATTGAAGGAGATGTTAAATTTCTGTTAAAGGCAAAGGAAAATAAAGACATTTTTCCCCCATGAAAGTTCACAGACCCCTCTGAAATCTATCCATGGACCCCTTGGAGTTCTGTGGACCCCAAGTTAAGAATCTCTGGCATAGAACAAGAGGTTAAAGGGGATAGGGGGATGGGGAGGGAACAAGCATTTATTAAGTGCCTACTATGTATATGGTTCTGTGCATATTATTTCATTTGATAATCAGAAACGTCCTCATCACCACCAGGAGTCAGAGAAACTGATATTAATGAAAGAGAAAGAGAGACAGAGACAGAAAGACAGAGACGGAGAGAGATGAGAGAGAAAGAAACAGAGGGAGAGAATGGGGAGAGGAGGAGGGAGAGAGGAGAGAATAAGACAGAGAGATAAAGAGGGAGAAGGGAAAGAGACACAGAGAATGGGGAGAGAAGGAGAAAGAGAAGAAGACTGATAGAAACAGACAGAGATAAAGAGGGGGAAGAATAGGGAGAGGAGGTGGCAGAAAGGCAGAGAAGAGAAAGAGAGAGGGTCAGAGAGAAAAACACAAGCAGAGGTAGAAACACACACACACACACACACACACACACACAGAGGAGTAGGACTATTCTACCTCTGAGGTCCCTTTCATCTCTAGATATGTGACTGAATGATACTATTTTCACATAATAAAGTGATCAAGGTGAATGAACACACACACACACACACACACACACACACACACATACACACATCCTCTCCTTGCTCAATCTCACGGGCGTGTGAGGAATCAATCTTCTGAACAATTAGGGGTAACAACCTTTAGAGTCTAGTCTAGGCTCAGCTATTAAGAAGCTACAAGCCACTTGGTTTTCTACTGTTCCCTCAGTGTTCTAATGTTCTCATGTTTACCCATGAGGCTAGAGTCAGAAACTGCTCTGGCACCACCAGCTCCCAGATCTGCTCCTTCCCTTCAGCTTGGGCCTGACATCCCAAGGAAAGGCAGGAGGGCAGGAAGATCACCTTGCTAGATCCTTTCCAGGTACTCTGGAGTCTAAAAGCAAGGTCCTCCATGATGGGCCCTCCATGCAAAGGTTGACATCAATGGTGCATTGAGTGCCAAAGGCCAGGTTCTTGTAATCTCTACCTCCAGGGCAGCTAAGATCAGAGCTGGGGCAGGGAGCACGGAGGGTAGGGAGGGTAGAAAGGTAATGGCCTCCATCAACATTTCAACCCAAGGCTACATCTAAATGATGGGGAGAACAGGTCAAGGAGCCCTGCCCACACTAATGGGCACCTGATGTTTCATCAATCCACCAAGTACTACTTAATGAAACTCTCTGGGTATAGACACATTAGGATCTAATACAAGTGTCAGCGGCTCCAGATGCATCAAGGTGACATCAAGAGATACCTGCATACACACGGATGAGACTGTACAGTCAACATGCATGTATTAAGCACCTACTATGTGCCACGCACTGTCTTAAACACTAAGAATACAGAGAAGCAAAAAAGACCTCCTCACAGTCTATCAGGAGATGAGAGTTGTGGCTTGGTTTGGCAGAAAAGTAAATAATTATAGCTAATAACAGCAGTGCCTTAGGGTTAGCAAAAGTGTGTTATATATTGTTATCTCATGCACCTGCTGCCCAAGCTTCTGCTCATGAATTTGTCCACACTTTCTGGGTAGGCTAATTCTCAGACAACAGATATACCAGGCCTTTTGTGGAGGCCTTTCCAACTAGAGATGAGAAGGTCACCTCCACCCCAATGAGACACTGGAGAGGGCTTTAGAAGGGGAAGAGGACCATCTGTCTTGTGACCAATAATATGCAGCATAGAATAATGAACAGAACTCAGAAGCAAAAAGCCCTGAGTTCAAGACCTGCCTTTGATACAACATGGCTGCCTGACCCCTCTGTGTCCCAGGCAACCCTCTCAGATTCTTCTATGAAGAACTATTGCTGAAGTGCATTGGTAGAGAGGGTCCCCTCCATCACTGACATCACAGCTTCTAAGTGTTAACAACAAGACTCAAGTCCAGGTCTCCAGATTCAAAGTATGGTGCTCCTTCCACTACACTTGGCTGCCTAGGTAGATACATGTGTATGTATATACCCCTTACTACTTTGAGGATCTGTGACTTTGAGTGTGGCTTCTCCTTCCAAGGACATAGATCACAACCCTTCTATGACTTGGGTCTTCAAGAGATGCTGTGGCCAGAAATAGTCATTACCCATTCTCCTGGTAGCCAACTTCACTGAGTTTAGCTAGGTTGGTCCCAGAAGTGCCTTCACACCATCTAGCCACCAGGCCTTTCCTAAAAACCTTTCCAGCTTGGTAGGACTAGCTAAAGACTGCACTTGAAAGAGCCCAGTCAGCCGTATGCAAAGATGGCGCATCAGAGGAGAGCGCTGGGGTGGTGTCGACATTACATGGCTACATGAGAGGTGGTGTGAAAGACAGAGGGCTGGCCTTGGAATCACAAAGACCTGGTTTGAGTCCTACCTCCAATACAAAAGAGCTGTGGGACTGACTACTGGAAAGTGTCTGAGCCCAGTAAGTTGTACACATGTATCTGTGAGGGTCTCCTCCTCCGGAGTTTCCTGCATTGATCAATCACAGGTCTGGAACATATATACAGGGTGTTCCAAAAGTCTTAGTCCAGTTTTAAGATGTTAAAGGCTTTGGGGACAACATGCCTAGCTGTGCGTGCATGTATGTATATGTATATATATATATCCATATGTATGCATGTATATGTATGTGTGCACATACAATAAATACACACACCAGACACAACCAAGAAACAAAACAGAAAAAAGAGCTGGCACAGATGGCGGAAAGTAGAGCTCGGACAGAAAGGACCCAAGCTCCGGAGAGCTGGGAAGGCCCTTTATTCATCAATGAGGAAACTGAGGCCCAGAGCGTAAGACCACTTACCCAGGGGCACACAGATTCATAAGCAAGTAGCGGAGTCTGGCCAGAACTCAGGCACGGGACTCCAGACCCTGGGAGCTGACCAGGGGTCCCGAAGGGAGAGAAGGGCACCTCCCCGGGGCTCCCGGGGCTCCCGGGGTGAGCGGCCCCGTCCTCTCCCCTCCCCACACCTCAGCAAGGCCGGGGCGGGGCGCGGGGCCCCCTCGGAAGCTCTTCGGGGAGGAGGGTTGGGGGCTGCGCCCCCAGACCTCTGACAACGACTCCTATGGGGTTCAGGACATGCAAGGAACGGACCTACGGCTCCCCGCGGACGCGGGCGGGGGCAGGAACCCCAATGCCTTGTCCAGCCCCTCACTTCACCCCAGCTCAGCTCCCTGCTTTGCGCCCGGGCCGGAGCCGCATGCTCGCACTCACCCGACCCGGCCCGACCCGACCCGACCCGGCCGCTTAGCGGACAAAAGGCCTCAACGTCCGGTCCCACATGGAGCCCCGCCGGGCTACATCGATGCGCAGAACTACAACTCCCAGAATCCCTGTAGTCAGATTGAACAGGGCCCGGGGACGCCTAAAGGCTGGGAGCCTCGCGAGGGCCTCTGGGAAATGGAGTCTGATTACCCTAGGGGAGATTCCTGGAAGTGTCCAGAGGTTTACTGCTGCCTCCGGGCGTGGTTTATTGGCTTTAGGCCGGGAGCGTTCACGGTCCATCTGTCCAAGCTCAGAATCCAGACCCCAAACCCCCCGAAGCCTGTAAACCCGCAGTCTGTAAATCCCTGGGTTAGTCTGGCACCATTAATTTGGACTCAATCCATCAACATGCTGTTACTTATTTTTAATGTTGAGTCGTTTTTCAGTCTGACTCTCTGTGACCCCATTTGGGGTTTTTTTGGCAGAGATACCGGAGTGGTTTGCCATTTCCTTCTCCAGCTCATTTTACAGATGAGGAAACTGAGGTAAATAGGGTTAAGCGACTTACCCAGGATCACACAGCTAATAGGTTGTCTGAGGCCAGATTGGAACTGAGGAAGATGAGTCTTCCTGACTCCAGGCCATTTATTTTTAAGAGTTTCTTTTATTCTGAATTTGACAAACATCAAATTAAATGAGCATTTCCATACATAGTGCATGCACTGTGAAACAGAAGAGGGTTGGTGCTTGTGGAGAAACTGCACATGTCTACTGTTTCCTTTTCAATTCAACTAGTAACTTTCTGTCAAGAAGCATTTAAGTGACAACTATGTGCCACTTAGTTGTGAAGTAAGTACTGGAGATGCAAAGAAATGCAAACCAAACACACACACACAAACAAAACAAAACAAACAAATAAACAAAAAAAAAAGTCAGTTCCTGCTCACAAGCAGCTCACAATCCAATGTGATTAATGCAAGCTTTCAAAACCATCCGGTTTGTCAGCAATTCCTTCTGACCATCCTTAGTCAATTACACCAAACCTCATCTCTCCCTACCTGCTACTTGACTCATTACCTTATTTCTTATCCTAGGTTCTCATGGGATATGTTCTGATAATGCTTCATTAATGACTAAAACTGCAATATCTTGCTCATTTATCAATTAACTCTGAGCTCCAACTGCAGTTTAGTATCTATTTATTTATTTAGTGTTAATTAAACTGGAAAAACTTTTCCCCATAAGCTTAGCTGTGTTTTTTTATTATGTTTTTATTTTTAGGTAATTGGGGGTAAGTGACTTGCCCAGGGTCACACAGCTAATAAGTGTCAAGTGTTTTGTCTGAGGCTGGATTTGAACTCAGGTCTTCCTGACTTCAGGGCCGGTGCTCTATCCGCTGTACCACCTAGCTGCCCCAAGCTTAACTGTATTGAAACCTCTAATCTCCTAGTCTTAAAACCAAGGTTAATGGATATATAATTTATTAACAATATAACAATAAAATAAAGGCATGAGTAATTATTTACAATGTATCAGTTATGAGAAAGATCATATCCAATAACTTCCAACCATCACTACTCCTGCTGACTCAATTCTGTAAACAATTCAACTATTCAGCTCTTTCAAAATAGCCAATGAAGTTTCTCAAGAATTCCCTTCATGTTTCTTCACTATATAAGAGTTAAATTCAGTCTTGCAGGAAAGTTCTCTCAGTCCTTCCTTTCTGTACTTCATTCAATCTCTCTCCAGCTATCACAGTTAACAGTACCAGTCTCTTAAGAGTCTATTGTCTAGACTTTGAGCTAAGTGATGCAGTGGTTAGAGTGCCCAGTCTAGAGTTAGGAAAACCTGAGGGCTCAGAAACTTCTCAGCTGTGTGATCCTGGGCAAATCACTTAACCTCTGTCTGCCTCAGTTTTCTCAACTTTGAAAGTGGGGGTAATAATAACACACTTCATAAGACTGTTGTGAGAATTAAATGAGATCATGTTTGTAAAGCACTTAGCCTGTCACATAGTACTCGCTTAGTAAATGTTTGTTACATATCTACCTACCTTCCCCTTCTCTTCTTAAAGATTCAATAAACAGTATCCATAATCTCTGTGGAAGAAGCATTGAATCTGATGATGCATCTCTCCCTGTTGGCAAAAAAACTTTCAGTCCCCTGAAAAACCATTTGTGGTATGTCAAAAACAAACAAATATGATATACAATACACATATCAATGCAAAGCATCACCTGACAGACTGCTTTGAGTAAAAAGAAAAAACCAACATAACACTAATAATAATAATAAAGTACAAAGCAACATATATAATTCTACAGTGAGCTTCAACTGGCAGCATAAATAACCTCTTTTCCTGTGACATCATAATTTAGCCTAATTATAGATTGGACTATTTCTTTTTGGATTTTCCAAGTCTGTATCTAGGTTGGTTGATGCTATAGGCTTATTACCAGTATTTTTAAACTCTATAGCTTTCCTCTAGAGAATTCCACAAATGAGTGTCTAGGCAGGAAAGTACTTCCTTTAGGCTCAGTTCTCCTCTGGGAGCATTTGGCTGACTTAAGCCTGTCTCTTGTTAATATTAACTTCACTTGACTAAAATGTGACTCATGGAAAGACAATATTAATGGAATCCCTGAGACCCTTTCAGCAGGTCCACAAAATCAAAACTATTTTCATAATAATACTAAGACATCATTTGTCTATTAAAATACTGCCCCCTTTTCCAACTACATATCTGTGTGAGGCCAGATTTTCTTCACGTACTTCAACCGAAACAACACGTAACAACAAATTAAATACAAAAGCTGACATGAGAATCTACATGGCACAGTAGATAAAGAGCTAAGCCTGGCATCAGAAAGTCTTGAGTTCAAATTTGGCCTCAAGACACTTACTATCTATGTGACCCTAAGCAAATCACTTAACCTCTATCTGCCTTAGCTGCCTCAATTATAAAATGAAGATAATGAAGATCACAACAGCATCTACCTCCCACAGCTGTTGTGAGGATCAATGAGATAATATTTGTAATGTGGTTAACACAATGCTTGGGACATAGTAGTCACTTAATAAATGCTTGTTTCCTTCTTTCCATTCATTAAGTAATACATTAAAGAGATTTGCAAAAAAAAAAAAGTAAAACAATATCACTATTCTCAGTAAATTTTTGTTTCGGAAAATATAGTAATTTTTCCATCAAAATACTCTTTGTGTCAACATGTAATATGTTTATTGTCATTTTTAATGAATTGATGATTGCTTTTAAAATTGATCAGTTTTAATTTCTAATACAGCAAACATTGCTGGATATAATCCACATACACAAAAGCTCTTTGAGACCCACAATTTTTAAGTGTAAAGAGCCCTGAAGCCAAAAAGTTTGAGAACTGCTGCTCTCACTTTCTGACTTCTTCCACTGAAATATCTCAAATTCACATTTTTCTAATTATCAAGTTTTTATTTAGTTTCTGTTTCACGTACCTCCAAAATGTTCTGAACACCAAAGTTTTCGGTAAAATTGTTATTGCTTCAACTCTTGATAACAAATGTAGGTCTTATGGTGTTTTTGTTTTGCAATACTGGGCATCTGCAATCTTGGAACTAAATGGTAATTTTCTGCTCTATTTCCTTTTACAAAGTTGTAGCAGGAGAGGAGGGTTTCCATGTGGGAGAGGGAAGGGATGGAAGAGAGAGTCCAGAGAGTCAGAAATGCAGTCTGGAGAGGAATGAAGACATCTCTAGCCTGGGAAAAATGGAGGTTCTAGGAATAACCAAACAATCATAGACTGCAGGGGTGGAAGGATGGAGGGTACTTTCAGTGTGAGAAGTCCAGAGGTGAATTGAACTTTCAGAGTAAAGAGGTTTCTCTGGCATGGTAGAGAAAATCTGGAGACTCAGAAGAGCACCCTGGAGAAGAATGAAGACATGATTGATCTGGGTGCCCTCCTTTAAAATGGAGGTTCTAAGTAAGATCTTTTCGATTTATTCAAAACGTGTGTATATGTATATATATATACACATATAGTGTGTATGTGTATGCATGTATATATATGTGTGTACATACACACTATATGTATATATGTATATTATATATATTATATATTATAAAAAGAGAGAGAGAGAGAAATAGAATGTGGTCATTTGTTTTGTGTGGCAGTTTGTAATGGGTTTTGTTTTTTCTTCCTTTATCAATGTGGAAGAGAGGGAGGTCAGAGGGAGAGAATTCACAACTAAAAATAAATTTCTTTTAAAAAAGAAAACTGACATGGAAAAAAAGAGTTAATCAAAATTGAGTTTTCCTGGATGGAGCTAGCTGGTAAATTCAGCCAACAGCTCAAAAAACAACAAAAAAAAAACAAAAAAAAAAGAACAACGTATACGTATTCCAGTAAACTGTATACAAGTCAAATGTTTATTCTGTAATGTAGTATTTGCAAAATGCATCTTTAACTCAGACCATTCTTGTCATCCTGACCCATTTGGGTCATTCTGACTATGTTTCCTTTTTTGGGTTGTACCTTTCCTTTTTCTACCAAAGTTATTAGCAGACTATCCACTTGTAATAGCACTGTTGAACACAGAAATACTTTTTCAGCACTGAGGAGAGATCCATAGCTCCACTTTAGCTTTTTCAAGCATTCTTGATATATGGTTTATAGTGTGTATGGGGGGGGGTTCATTTTTTTGCTGGTTTGGTTGGTTGGTGGGTTTCTTTGTTTTGTTTTGTTTTGTTTTGCTTTTTTTTGTTCCCCAACCCCACCCCGCTCAGACATTTCACAAGTTCAAAAGCATGGCCTCTGAAACCTTCTACTAAATTACACCTTTTGTGTAGCTTAACTCAGATGGTTGCCAGCATTTTAGTCATTCTATAGAACACCCAGTCCAAACCTCTACTGATTCTTCCCCAAGAAGAGAAGGCTCTTGCATGGAGAAGATTCTTGAAGTTGGTCTATGATATTTTTGTGGTATAAGACATCTATGATACCTATGTGTGAAGTATCTCTCTCTGATTTAAGCATGGCTCTAAGCTTTTCTACTGACAAATTTTCTTATCTCATAAAATTTACTCATTTTAAAAATTAACTCCTC